ACACAAGGGAGATATGAGGATAGGTAAGACACCTAAAAAATTAGAGAAACTAAAGCAGATACCTTAAAGCAACTGAGGGCCCCCAGTGGCCTAAGGACCTCCCTGTAGGCCCCACCTCTTAAAAGCCCCAACTCCTCTTAATACTTCCATATTTAATAAGCCTCAAACCCATGAACCTATGAGGGAACAAATAGCACCCAAACCTTAGCAGTCACCAACAGCAAAATGGTCATGAAGTTTTATGAAGAGTACATTCTACATAGGTCCTCAGTTGGTGATCCCTTATAACATTACCCTATCATTACAGAGGGTAAGGGAAGAACCAAAACTTTGGGGAGCTTGGAAAAATTCAGTAATTTATTTGAAGTCTCATCCCTAGTGAGCAGCAGAGCAGGTATTTGAACCAAGAATTGAGGGCCAGTTTAAATAATTCTAGGTAATCACATTGAGCTACATAAAAGCTATTCAGAGACCTACAAACATTACAGATTATAATTGTGAAGCGCTAAATAATCATAGTGAGATCTAGCTTTGGGTCTATTGTCTCTGATGCACCCCGTCCTCTCCAGTGCTCCTCTCCCAAGTAACCAAAACACTCCAAATAATCACAACTCTGGGGATGGGAGAAGACTTAGGAGGCAGAATCAATTTTGTTCTCTGACCCCATTCCTGTCCCTGTACCAAGCAGATTACCAGCCTCCACCTTCTTTAATCTCATGGAGTATTTGTCTATGAGCAGGCAGTCTATAGCATGGCTGCTCTCCAGAAGCCTGAGCATCTTGATAGGATAATGCGTAGGAGGGAAGGAACAGTGCCTTGAAGGACAAATAGGCAGGAAGGAATTTTTTTATTAGCATATATAAGTTGAACGGGGGGGGGGGGATTCATTGTGACATTTACATATGTGCTTACTATATAGCTTTTTTTTTTCCATTTTTCTTTTATTATTCATATGTGCATATAAGGCTTGGTTCATTTCTCCCCCCTGCCCCCACCCCCTCCCTTACCACCCACTCCACCCCCTCCCGCTCCCCCCCTCAATACCCAGCAGAAACTATTTTGCCCTTATCTCTAATTTTGTTGTAGAGAGAGTATAAGCAATAATAGGAAGGAACAAGGGGTTTTGCTGGTTGAGATAAGGATAGCTATACAGGGCATTGACTCACATTGATTTCCTGTGCGTGGGTGTTACCTTCTAGGTTAATTCTTTTTGATCTCACCTTTTCTCTAGTTCCTGGTCCCCTTTTCCTATTGGCCTCAGTTGCTTTAAGGTGTCTGCTTTAGTTTCTCTGCATTAAGGGCAACAAATGCTAGCTAGTTTTTTAGGTGTCTTACCTATCCTCACCCCTCCCTTGTGTGCTCTCGCTTTTATCATGTGCTCATAGTCCAATCCCATTGTTGTGTTTGCCCTTGATCTAATGTCCACATATGAGGGAGAACATACGATTTTTGGTCTTTTGGGCCAGGCTTAATTAGATTCACCCCCTCCGTCATTTCCCTTATTCCCCGTCACCCCTTTCTTAGAACAATTTCAACAGTTTAATTATTCTATTTTCATACACCTATATAAAGTACATCTACCCTCTTTGTTTACCAGTCCCTCCCCCACTACTTACCTCCCCCAGACAGGATTTTATCTTCCTGACCATTATTAAGTGTACACTGATTGTTCAGGGGGGTGTTGCCTTGGTATTTCACACATGTATATATTGTACTTTACTCAGATTAACCCCCTCTATTACTTACTCTATTGCCCTGCTCAGGAGGGAATTTTTTTCTCCTACCCCAGGTCTCTCCATTTACAATAACCAGGCACAGGGTCTGGGCTGAGGTGTATTTAGGATAGGTTTGCTTTGCCTCCTCTTTCTATACAGTCAGCACAAGAACACAGCCTGTGGTAGGTACCAGGAGGCCGGAGGGAAATTTTTAATTGTAGGACATCAGGAGACCTTAGGAAGACAAGGCCTTGGGGAAATGGCTTCTTGGTACACAGAGGGAGGCTGGACCCCAGACATCAGGACTCCATCCTGAGTAGAAACATCCACCCCACCTTTCCACCTCTCTGCCCCTCCTTCCTACTCCTCCCCCACCCTCCCACCCTCATGCCCCACCTGTACTGGAACAGCAGCCATACCTACCTTCAAAGGATTGTATGGACTTGGATAGTGAGGGTAGCAGGGAAATTCATGATGATTGAAGGCCCCACAGAGGTGCCTCCAATTCTTGAGTAACTTGTGGGAAGAGGATGGAACTAAATTGAACTTTCCTTCACCTCAGTGGGATGAAGGGAAGATGAGGATTTGAGCTGCCACTTCTGTGCAAATCTACCTCAAGATACACAATACACAAAACACACATGAGGCAAGTTCAACTCTTTATTAATATTAGCATCAGAAAAACCCTGACAAAAGCGTATCTTGGTGAGCAGAGAATGATCTCACAGGAACTCAAAGACACCCTTAGTTCACACTGGAGGCAAATCTAACCTCCCATCCCTAGCCCCATCCTAGCACCTCCTTGTCTTGTAGCAGCTGCCGTGGGGGAACAGAGAGCCTACAGGTAACAAACCTAGTGGAAGAGAAGGGGCCCAGGGAAATTCCCAAGAGTGCTGGCCCCTAACTAGTTCTACTTTTAATTTAATTAGTCTTCCAAACAAACGTACCATCCATCAGGGCCTAGTAGCCCTGATGTCTGTCCTTGGAATCCATTTTGTTCTTTACCCACTGCTGACTGAAGGGGTTTGTGATGGGGACAGCCTGAGGCTGAGGACAGGAGTGTATAGCCAACATTCTCTCAAGCACTATCTTTCTTGAAGACAACCCAGTGGTCTTTGAGGCAGGTTGGTGCGCAGCCAGGAAGACAGCTGTAACTCTCAAGAGAGGAGATCAAAAGAGGATCAGAAAAACTCTGTCTGTACTTTCATGAAGCCACTTTTTGGTCTTTGCCACTGCTCATTTGCTTCACTTGGGACCAAGGAAAGGAACAGTTTGGTCACTCAAGACCTTTCATGAAAATCTCTTTCATGTTACCCCAGAACTACAAAACAGATCTGGATGTTATTTCAATTAGTTTTACCTAAGGTCATACTATATGCAAGGCATATATCAAATTATCTCAAATAGGCTCTGAAATTGGTATCTCAAATTAGAATCTCCCCAATCATTTAACCAACCTCACCCAACTGGGTTATGTGTGTACCAGACAATAATGTAGTTTCTAACACATAGTAGGCCACCAGTCTATTCAATGAACTAATGAATGAAATTCAACAAACTTGTTAAAATCTGTAAAATTTTTAACACTATCCTCCCAACCCCTTTGAACTCTGTGATGTTAATCCCTTTTTTCTAACAGAAAGATTAAATTCTAATAAAATCTGTATGCTCTCCCTTGTTCCAAAATATGTGCCCAAACATCTCCTCCTTGATTCTTTCACATTCTTTGTAGCTACAGCCAGTTGAGGTCTTACTGAGGTGAAAGCTGCTGAGAGCCAGAAGGGCATTTCACGAGGATTCACACACTGGGAGCTGGAACTTCTTCAGCTTCCTGCAAAGTTCCTGGACCTTAGAGACACAAAGAATAGATTCTATGAATGTTATAAAAACAAATCAAGAAACAAATATGAACATTGCTATGGCTTATATTATAATAGCATTCTCAAGGAAAAAGCATTGTACCTACAACATAATGTATCCTATGTTCTAAAAGCATAACTAGGCCAGGGGCATGGCTCAAGTGGTAGAGAAACTGCCTAATAAGCATGAGGCCCTGAGTTCAAACCCCAGTACTGCCAAAAAATAAAATGACAGCTATTCCCAGCTGAAGACCTGGTATTACGGAAGAAAGAAATTGAGGATAATGCAGAAAGGAGAAAAGAGAATGTTAAAAACATCAGCTCCACCAGTGTGTTTACCAATAGATAGCAGCCATCCAGAATCTAGCTGTGAGCATAAATGCAATTAGAGAAAATTTCCTTTTAAAGATTGACATATTCTTGGGCTAGTGGAGTGGCTCAAGTAGTAGAGTGCCAGCCTAACAAGCACAAGGCCCTAAGTTCAAACCCAAGTGCTGCCAAAGAAAAAAAAAGGAAAAGATTGATATATTCAATAGAATCTCATCTTTCTTGAAAACAATACAAATTATATACACACATGTATAATATGAAACTGGAGAAAGAAACCCATATGTGGAAATGGGTATATTAATGTTTTAGAATGGTTAGTGCAGGCTATAGCTCAGCGGAAGAGTGCTTGCCTAGCATGCACAAGGTCCTGGACTTGATCCCTAGTAAGGTGCAAACAAAAAAATGATTATTGTTTGATGGTGGGATAATAATTTTTGTTTGATGAGTTTCAAAATATTCTATGATGTAAATAAAAGGTTTTTTTAATTAGAAAGAGGCTTCAAGAAATTGATTTCTCTTTGGAACATAGCTTCCCTGTTTTTCTACCTCCCTGGATTCATTGAAGAACTTGTTTTGGGTCAAGGCTTCCCATATTACCTGCTATCTAGATTTTCTTGCATTTATAGAACATCAAGTGTCAAGAAAAATAAATCACACTTTACATCTTGGCCAGTCTCAATTCCTTCTCCTGAGGACTAGGGCAAGTTTCTCCTTTCTGGGATTCAAAGTGTTTATCTTTTGGTAGCCTGGCCATCTGTCTCTGAGGCTATTGTTTCCTTAGGCTTTTTTAGTTCCCACTAAGCTCAGAGAAGTTTCTGAAGTGTGGGATCACAAGACTCTGGCTTTTTTTTGGCGGTACCGGGGTTTTGAACTCAGAGCCTCACGCTTGCTAGGCAGGAGTTCTTATCCCTTGAGCCACTTGAAGCACTCCACCAAACATTTTTTGTGATGGGGTTTTTTCAAGATAGAAAACTATTTGCCGTGGCTGGCTTCCAACCAAGATTCTCCTAATCTCTTCTTCCTCCATAGCTGGGATTACAGGGATGAGCCTCGGGAGCCTGGTTTTCCTGGCTTTTTGTTGTTGTTGTTTCTGCTGTCAATCACTGGGGCCATCCTTTAAGGCCTCACTGGACTTCCTCCCTGACCTTGGGTGTGATCCCACCACTATGCTATGTGTCCCAGATTGCACTGCTGTCGACTGCAGACCAGGTGAGCAGATGCCCCTCGTAGATATCTGGGGTGGATCAGAAGCTTCTGCTGCCCCTTCTGAGGTTATTCTGTGTGGGGGAGGGGGTGAGTATGGGAATGCTATTGGGAAAGACTGGAGAATGGCATTGGCAGAGGGGGTTGAACGACCGACCGGGACCCAGGGACTTGCCACACCTGTTAGGGATGCCTTCTGGGCCTCCTCCTTCCGGGACGCTGCACTCTGTGCATTCAGCGACCATGCCTCAGTCTTGGGTTGTTCATCTTGCGACCCAGAAACCACTTGCTGGGACAGCTCGAACTGGAGCAGCCTGCCGCGGAGCTCCTCTTGCTCCCGTAGCGTTTGCTGCAGGCTGTCTCTCGCTCTACGCAACTGCAAAACCACTTGCTCACGCTCCTCACGGACGCGCTCCAGCTCAGAGGCCAGAGCCCAGGTGGCCTCCTCGCGCTGTTCCACCTGCTCCTGCAGATGCCGAACCCGGCGGGCCTGCCGCTCGCGCTGCCTCGCGGCCACTCGCACACCCAGGGCCAGCGCGCTCCAGGCGCAGGCCCGCTTGATGGTGCGGGGTACCTGCGAGTCGGACACGACAGATTTCAGGCCATCTTCGATCTCGTTCCACGACCGGGAGCGGAAGGTCAGGTAGAAGTCAGGCCCACCGCCATTACTGAGCACCTCTTCGTTGATGAACACAACCACCTCGCTGTGGCGGAAACCACTCCTGGGGTCCCCAAAATCTACAGCCATGGCCGCCGCGGCCTAGTCAGCCGAGCTGCCTTCACTACTGTTACAAGCGGTGGGTTGCCAACTGGCCCACCCCTCGCCTCCTTACTCAGTCCTTGGCCAACCCTAGCCTCTTCCTTGGCCTCTATCCTCCCTTTCTCCTCCTCACAAAATCTGTTCCCTCACGCACCAATTCTTACCACGGCAACGGATTTACACGTCACAGATGTGGGCTTTGAGTCTTGCCGCTTGGCCTGCTGGGACTAAAATTCCTCCACAGGTTTGTCGCAAACTGGGCTGCTGCTCAAACATGACAGGCCCTTGCCTGACGACTGTCCTGAGGACTAAGATGAGTCCAGAGAGGACTCAGGTCCAGATTATTTGGACCACACCCAGACACATGAAATGAATTTCGTTTTTCTTTTTCATTTTTTTTCCTGGTGTTTTGAGACAGGTTCTCACAAATACGTATTGCAAACTGACCTACAACTCATGTTCCCAGGCTGGCCTGGAACTCATCATCCTGCCCCTGACTTTGGAGTGCTGGGATTACAGAAGTGCACCATCATGCCGAGCTGTCACATGACTTTCTAATCAAGAGGTGGGCGCATGTTGTGGCTCTTTTTGGCTTTGCTCCCCTTCCCATAACTCTCATTTTTTTATATCTGTACAGTCTCATAAGATTTTCTCTACACAGTGCCTTCCTCATCTTAAGCACATGACCTCGGAGTCCTATTCAATAGGAAAACCAAATAATGGAGGTATGAAGTCTTTCAGCTTTCTCTCTCTCCCCATGCTCTAGATGTCAGTAACCTACTATTCCATTTCCTTGGGGATTTTCTTTCTTTCTTTCTTTATTTACTTGAGACAGGGTCTCAGTATGTGGCTCAGACTGGCCTAGAGCTCTATGTAGGCCAGGTTGGCCTCAAACTCTCAATCCTCCTGCCTCAACCTCTCCAATACTGAGATTAGAGGTGTGTACCATTACTCCCTGCTCTCCTCAGGAATTTTAATACATCTATTGCCCATCTTTCCTGCACCTCCCCCATCTCCTGCACTACTGGCTATGTATTTTTCCCATACAGTATATCTGTTCAAGTTCTTTCTATGCTTAATATCATTGCCTCCCTCTATCCTATGTCTTACCCTTTTCACACCACCCTTTCCGTCTTCTCATTACACAATAGTTTGTACCACACCCGCTTCACCGTGCTGTGTCAATCTGCTGTGTTTTGTAATCCCCAAAACATTAGTGAAAATTCTAAAGGTTGCCACCAGTCTCTGCCTCAGTACAAAATCTAGTGGATACTTTGAAAGTTAGTTCTCACATGATCTTTCAGTAGGGTATGGTTCTGTTGAACATTACCTCCCTGACATTCTATCCTGCTTTGGCTTCTCTTTTTCACTTTTTAACATTAGCATTGACTAATTGTACAAAATAATGAGTTTCATCATGACATTTTCATATATGTGTATAGGGTACTTTGATCTTATGCCCTCCTCATTATTCTCTCATCCTCCCTCACCCCACCTCCTCATTCCCTTCCTCTTCCCAAATAGTCTTCCATCTGTGTTCAAATCTTTCTTTTAAATCTAGAGTCCACATATGAAAGAAAACATGCAATATTTGTCTTTCTGTGTCTGGCTCACTTTGCTTAACATGGTAATCTTCAATTCCATCCATTTTCCTGCAAACTACATAATTTTGTTTTTTGTTATAGCTGAATAAAACTCCATTGTGTACATATACAACATTTTCTGTATTCATTCTCTTCACGGGCACCTAGGCTGATTCTGCAACTTGGCTATTGTGAATAGTGTCACTATAAATATGGATATGGAGGTATCTCTACTGTATGCTGATTTTGACTCCTTCAAGTATATATCCAGGAATAGTGTAGATAGATGAATCATATGGTAATTCTATTTTTAATTTTTTGAAGAAACTCTATATTGATTTCCACAGTGGCTGGGCTAATTTACATTCCCACGTCCTTGTATTGGAGTTCTTTTCACCAACATCCTTGCCAATAATTCTTTTTTGTTCTGTTGGTGATAGCCATTCTGACTGGGGTGAAATGGGCTCCCAATGTCATTTTGATTTGCAGTTCACTCTTGGCTAAAGATGATGAATACTTTTTATGTATTTATTGGCCATTTGTACTTCTTTTGAGAGCTGTGTGCTCATTTGCTCACTTATTGGTTGGATTATTTGTTCTTTTAGTGTTTAATTTTTCTTTGTTCAATTAGCTTTGAGACCGGGTCTCAACATATAGCTCATGTGGAAAAGGTTAGATCAAAAAGAATTAACCTAGAAGGTAACACACATGCACAGGAAATTAATGTGAGTCAACTCCCTGTATAGCTATCCTCATCTCAACTAGCAAAAACCCTTGTTCCTTCCTATTATTGCTTATACTCTCTCTACAACAAAATTAGAGATAAGGGCAAAATAGTTTCTGCTGGGTATTGAGGGGGTGGGGGGAGGGGGGCAGAGTGGGTGGTAAGGGAGGGGGTGAGGGCAGCGGGGAGAAATGACCCAAACATTGTATGCACATATGAATAATAAAACATTTTAAAAAAGATTAAAAAAACATATAGCTCATGCGGATCTGCAACTCTCTGTGTAGCCCAGGCTGACCTCAAACTGTCAATCCTTCTGCTTCAGCCTCCTAAGTGCTAGGATTACAGGTGTGACTACCACACCCAGCAATAGTGTTTTTTTCAGTTCTTTATACATTCTGGATATTAACCCCCTGTCAGATAAATAGCTTATAAAGATTTTCTCCCTTTTTATAAAGCTTTTTCTTTTTGGTGGTACTGTGGTTTGAACTCAGGGCCTCATATTTGGTAGGCAGCGCTCTACCACTTGAACCACTCTTCCAGCCCCAAAAGATTTTTAATTTAACACAATCCCATTTGTAAATTCTCAGTATTATTTCCTGTGATAATGGAAGTTATCTTGAAGTGTTTTCCTCTAGCAGTTTCAAAGTTTCAGAATTTAAGATCTTTGATCCATTCTGAATTGATTTTTGTACAGGGATCTAGGTTGTTTTTTCCTTAATATATGTATCTAGTTTCAATCTTCTACATACAGCTATCCAATTTTCCCAGCACCATTTGTTAAAAGAGGCTGATTTTTCTTCAACATATGTCTGTGGTACCTTTGTTGACAATCAGATGGCTGTAACTGCATGCATTCATTTTTGGGTTCTCTATTCTATTCCGTTGGTCTATATGTCTGGCTTTTTGTGCCAGTTCCATGCTGTTTTTGTTACTATGGCTCTGTGGTGTAATTTGAAATTGGCTATTGTGATACCTTCAACACTGCTCTTTTTACTGAGAATTTCTGTGGTTACTCAGTCTTTTGTGCTTCTATATGAATTTTAGGATTTGTTTTCTAGTTTTGTAAAGAATGTTATTGGAATTTTGAAGGTGAATTTTTTTATTCCTTTTGGTAATGTAGCCATTTTCACAATATTCATTCTCTCATTCCATGAACATGAGAGGCCTTTCCATCTTTTAGTGTCCTCTTCAATTTCTTTCTTTCATATGCTTTATAGTTTTCATTGTCTTTCATTTCTTTGCTTAGGCTTATTTGTGGTTACTTCTTTTTGAGGCTATTGTTAATTGGATTGTTTTACTGGTTTCTTTCTCAGCATGCTCATTATTGGTGTATAGAAAAGCTGCTGGTTTTTTGTATTCTGCTACTTTGCTGAAAGTGTTTATCAAATTTAAGATTTCTGGGGGAGTCTTTAGGGTTCTTTTAGCTTTAGGGCTATGCCATCTGCAAATAGGAATAATTTGCCAACTTACTTTTCTATTCTTACCTCATTTATTTCTTGTTCTTGCCTTATCACTGACTAAGAATTCAAGGAATATTTTGAATAAGAGTGGAGAGAGTGGAAATCCTTGTCTCACTCCTGATGTTAGAGGAAACTATTTCAGTTTTTCCTCATCAGTATAATGTTGGTTACAGGGGTATTACATATAACCTTCATTATGTTTGAGATTTGATCCTTCTACTCCTGGTTTCTTCAGAGCTTTTATCATGACAGGATGTTGAATTTTGTCAGGATTATTTTCTGTATCTATTGAGATGACTGTGATTTTTGTTCCTGAATTCTATTTATTTTCTGTACTATGTTTATTGATTTGAATATGTTGAACCATCCTTGCATTCTTGGAATGAAACCAACTTGCTCATGGTGTATGGTCTTTTTAATATGTTGTCAAATTCAGTTTATGAGTATTTTGTTTAGGATTTTTTATGTTCATCAAGACATTTTATCTATAATTTTCTTTTTTGACTGTGTCCTTATCCAGTTTTGGTGTCAGGGTAATAATGATCTTATAGAATGAGCTTGGAAGCATTCCTTCCTTTTCTATTTCATGGAATCATCCAAGGAGCATGGTGTTAGTTCTTCTTTAATGATCTGGTAGAATTCAGCAATGCATCTGTCTGGTCCAAGGCTTTTCTTTAATGGGAGAATTTTTATTACTGCTTCAGTTTCACTAGCTGTTATTGATTAGGTATTCTATATCCTCTTGGTTCAGTTTTGGTAGGTCATATGTGTCTAGAAATTTAACCATTATTCCAGTGTTTCCAATTAATGGGATTATCAGTTTCCAAAATATTCCCTAATTATCCTTTGGATTTCAGTTGTATCTATAGCCTTTTTCATCTCTAATTGTACTTATCTGGGTCTTTTCTTCCTTTTGGTTAGTTTGGGTAAGGGTTGGTCAATCTTGTTTATCTTTTCAAAGAACCAATTGTTTCATTGATTCTCTGTATTATTCTTTAAGTCTCCGTTTTGTTCATTTTTGCCCTGATCCTGATCCTTTTTTATTTTCTTTCTTTCTTTATTTTGCAGTACATGGGTTTGAACTCAGGGTCTTGAGCTTGCTAGGCAGGAGCTTTACCATTTGAACCACACTTCCAGCCCTTGCCCTGTTCTTTATTTTTTTCTTTCTGTCTACTGCTTTTGGGTTTGGTTTGTTCTTGTTTTTCTAAGAGCTTGAGG